AGGGCTGATGTGCACCCAGCACATGTACCGTATATAACCCAAGAGGGAATGATAACTTTTTTATATTGTAATAATAGTAATATAATCATAGTAATTACATTACACCAGTGAGTATTCTCTTTTGACGTCATGAAGTTATGACTCAATAATTAAGATGAGGGAAAACACAGCACATCCCACATTCTGTCTGTGAGATAAGCTCCCTCTGCTGGAGTAAACATAAATGGATAGAGTAAACAGATAAAAGGCGAGTTGTGATAAAAAGCATCAGAGGGCTGATGTGCACCCAGCACATGTACCGTATATAACCCAAGAGGGAATGATAACTTTTTTATATTGTAATAATAGTAATATAATCATAGTAATAACAATTCATTCATTAATACTTTATAATGGTGGATAATTGGTGAACCTAAATAAGCTGTATATCATGTTTCTAATCATATTACTGCACTAGATGATGTCATCTTCTGACTTTATGGTGACGTCATGATGACATAATTCCCATTATATGGTCATCAATTATTTTGATATCATAATGGAGGCAATTTGGTTGTTACCCTGCCAACGCTATGCCGTCACCCAGGGGATCAAGCAGACATGGCAACAAGACATTTCAAAGTGATTAAACAAGCAAATTAAATGGCATTAATTATTTACTGTTACATTAAAAGAACTCTATGGTATAAACTTGTAAAACTACCCAGTGTTTGTGGTGTCTCCTAGTGGTTCTAGGCCAGATGCTCACATGTGCATCTTCCTCACTTCCTTGGGATCAGAGCGGTTCCCTTTACCAGGCTTATGAAGTGATGGTACAGGTACAGATCAGATGTCCGCCACCGTTTGACATTAAAAACCAGAACAGTTTCACCAAAGAGAAGTCACATGTAAACATAACAAGCACAATTTCTGTTTTAGATTATTGGAGAACAGTTTATTGTAGAGTTCAGTGACACATTGGAACACCGTCATCCTCACACGTTACCTCAAGGTCAACAAAATCTCAAGACAAAAGGAAAAAGTGACAGAAGTATTTGGTACAGCAGGTAAGTGACATCTTACTGACATTTCACTGTTCACCACATCACTTGCATTGCACCAACCACTCACACCGTGCTCCTCGTAACATTTACCACAATTTACATCCACCACAGCCACAGCGGGATGACTGGCTTAGATTGACCAGCTTTGTGTGAGCCAAAACAACCCCATCCTTTTTCTTAAGCATTGGGGGAAAAACACAGATAGTTGTTGTTGAGAGACTTGGTAAATGAAGATGTTCTCTTCTTGATTATATTGCTCAGATCAGACCATTACTCAGCTGGCGATACCCTGCACACAATAATTCATATGTACAGTGTGAAACTCTGTTGAGATATTACTTCATCATTGAATTCAAGATCACATTTTTGAACTAGCTTGATCACACTACCACTGCAACCTAACAGAATGTGCAGGTTCAAGACTCAAATTAAAACAGCATAATGTAATGATGCTTGTAAAAGTACAACTTCGGCTATGTAATAAAACAACTTTTCACTGGTCTGGACGAATTAAAAAGCTTGTATCACTAAAACACTATCAAAATAAGTCATTAGTAATAAATGTTTATTAGGATGACATTTAGCAGCACCAGTCAGTGGTAATATTACAGTAATGTACCGCAGTACAATACCTTGATGTATTGGCACAGATGGACACAGGAACATTTGACTTCCCCTGCCATACGATGCATAGTGCACAGATCAACGCCTGTTTGTTTTC